GTGGAGAGATAGTTACTCTTCGCGATATCCCAGGAAGCTATCTTTCCGCTGCTGTGTCCCGAGACAAGAGTTGTGCCATCCCAGCTGAGGCTCAGACTGAGAGTCCCTCCAAGCTTCTGGGAGTCTGCGCCGAACCTGGTCTTTGGCGAAGGTTGCATAGGTCGGTGTGATGACGATGCATCTCGTAGGACATCGGTCGAAGTTGTCTTCTGAATGTCGTCGTAGAAATCGATTGTCTGCAGGCTACCATCGGCGTAGCCAATGAAGCAAGCTCGGTCGGCTGGATCAAGTGTGACCGATGTGGGTGTCTCTGGCAGAAGGTATGTGCGCAGCGCCTGGCCATTGTGGTAGTCCCACACGATGGCAGTCTTGTCGCCTGACGTGGATATGGCAATATTGGCTGTGCTTGAGCTGTGTCCGCACGCAATCGACGAGATGGGTCCACGATGTGTTGACAAGGTATGAATTGGCGAGCGAGATGTATCAGGTGAGAATGAAAGGATCGAAGGCAGTGCCCACACGTGGATCATAGCATCTGCAGAGCCGGAGAGGAAGAAGTTCGAGGAAGGATCGACTACGAGAGACGTCACAGGTTGAAGGTGCGAAGTGGAAGTGGAGACCAGGCGACCCGAACAGATCTGTGCTATGTATTAGCACTGCGACTCTATATACACGACTTGAGGCATGACTGACCTCCCAGGCTAGCACTCTTCCGCTCTCTGCTCCCAGCAGCAGAACCGTGTCTTGCGCCGCGAGCGCAATGCTGTGTATCCTCTCTGGAAATGGCACAATAGCCTCTTGGTTGCCCTTCTCCCGGCTGTATACGTGGACGATCGCTTTCTCGGTCTGCGCTGCGAAGATGTGCGTGCTGCTTACAGCAATGCCGTTCTGAGCCGTCGCGCTCTTCTTGAAGACATTTCGTTGCGCCGCCAAAGGTTGGAACTCGTGTATGAAGATGCCCTGATCCTTGGTCACGCCGGTATTTGGCTTCGTCGAGCCAGATATGGCGGCCACGAATTGTTCGGTCAGCATGGCGGGCAATGCGTTTGTGATTGTCGTGAGCTCCGAGCTGCTCTTCCCAAGAATTTTTGGTGGAGAGCAGGTCCGAAGGGCGCTAGTGCGCTTTGGCCCCAGCGGCGCAACGCCGTCCCTACCTGTGTCATAACAGCCTAGTTCATCAGTCGACATGTTCTCCCAGCACGAGCTTCGGTATCACTGCGGCTGTCATGAGCTTCTCTTGTTCTGTGGGTGACGGGATCCCTCTGGGCGCACGGTCTTCACGAGCAGCAGCATTTAAGTCCTAGCAACAGCAATGCCAGACTTGTACCCTTCCATGGGATGGCATTATAGCCGTTCTAGGCTCGCAGTTTCGGCAGCCTGCTGGGGTGGTCGAAATTCTGAGAAAATTCGTGAACGACAATGGTCCCTTGAAAGTGAACATTTTGCATAGCAAGAACTTCTCCAATATCTATCTGCAATACTACCGCAGAAAAGGTATGGCATAGCAGTCTTCATATATCCAAGATGTTGGCTCACAAAACGGTGCGTTCAGACTAAGTCATCCTCTGGCCTGCAATCGGTGCTAGTCTTGACGTTGGTCTCTCGGGCTCTCATTCTTCTTTGGGAAATAGTCCAACTGGGTATAAGGCTACACTCTAATAAAGAAAGCACACAAAACAAGTTGCGATGTCCTCGCTTGTTACAGGATATCGTGATTAAGGAATGAACCTGAACACTTTTCCATGACGATGAGCCTAGGTAGCAGGACAGGGACTGCGTGCGTCTCTGAACCGGATGCTGGCCACACAGCTCGCGTTCTCGTGTTGCGCAAAAGCTAGTCTAAAACATAAAAGAGATTGTAGCCTCTAGAGCTATTTTTCAGTTGCAGAAGACGCTCATGTGAAATCTAACTGCCTCCTAGTTTTAGAGAGATCTGCTCTTAGACCCCTCTAGTAACACAATCCGATGAGCAAAGCAATTGCTCAGTGCGTGCACGATAAGCACCGAGGGATATGTACGATGTGATCAGATAAGGAGAATTGCTCACCCCTCTCCAATCTCGTCCTTGACCTGAGACCTTATGGAAATGGGGAAGCGATCTCACTTCGCGTCTCTCTTCAGGGTGAGATTGGTAAGTATCTTGCGTTGAGCCATTGCTGGGGCAAGGCGAAGGACTTCACTTGGATTACCAAGAAAGCAAACTTTGAAGGCCCTATTGGCTCGATACCCCAGCCGCTGCTCAAGAGGTTCCAGGATGCGGTGAAAGTCACTAAAGCACTAAGTTTTCGCTACCTTTGGACCGTGGACGGACGGACAACCTCTCCGTTCGGGAGCGATGCACTGTCATATATGATCTCCCTCTTCATGACTATATCCTGCCGCAGGACGATGTAAGCATCAGTCCTCGATAACGTCGCCACCACTCAAATTACCTGAAGCCTGAGTTCCAAGTGGAAAAAGTGCCATGAAGTCTGCTATCGAAAAACCCACGGGTCTTTCAGATATGCGTCCTCTCTCCGAGAACACTACACGCCGGTCGAGATGAAATTGGATGGGAGTGTCGCTCCGTAACAGACTGCGAGTGTTCACCGGCCCATCCTGCGGACTGAGGGTGTGAGTACCCTAACTTCAAAGACGCCATTACGACAAGAAAATGAACAGCCGTGGTGATAGATTACACGTTGTTGGATATAACTTCTTCGCACAATCGTCTCGTTACAGTCTCTGGGCTTGCTTCTGCTCTCTATAAAATAATTAATTATTCTTGTGTGGCTCTACGATCAAGAATGAGTTGATGTGGAGCGTAGAGACCGTTGCTAAAAGACGTCATCTTGATATTGCTCCTACTTGGTCTAAGGCATCTACCACTGGCTAAAGCTACTTCGAAACTGTTTTCAAAGACTATTGGGATCCCGAAGACGTCAGCGTTAGACCCATTCTTACAATGGGTTCTCCACGAGTCTTTGCAGAGCTAAAGCTCGGACTAGTCTGATGCTAGAAGGATTTCTCGTACCAGTGTCTATCGAGGAAGTAGTCATGGGATAAGACGACTCATTACACGGACCAACACGCGGCTATGTTCACCCTAAAGGCGCCACGATTTGTTCCGAACAGCTCTGCGAAGCTGAGACCTACAAGACCCACTGGGATACTGATGATGATAAGGCCAGCGAGTGCAATTTGTTTATGGTAATGTGCTCGACCTTGGGATTTCGGGGTCTCATATTGGCACCTATACGAGAAGGGTCTGCATACACAAGACCTGGCATAGTTGAGACCCCACGGAGTTGGTTCAAGAAGGATGATAGCGATATAGCGATACAGAATGGTAAATGCAGTTCCGTGCGACAGTGAGTTAGACTGTCATAGTTCTGTCCGCACTACAGACTATAGGAGGTTGCGATGCTCAACATGAGCAACACAGCCTTCTGTATATTCAGCTCCGTTGCATAACTCTCTAAAGCAAATGATCAAGCTCTTGGAGATAGAGGCTCTTGTGCACATACGCAAAAAATGTCACAGTGGTCGGAATCGGTCTCTAGTCTACAAAAGGCTGCCATCTTAAGCACTGTCACAGTAACTAAAATCTACCAGCCAGTCGTGTAAATCTGCGCTGTTCTCCATCTCTCTTGTTAAATAGTTGTACATTAATCCTCCGTGATATCGTCCTTCAACGACTCTTCGAATTCAACGGACGCTTGAAGACTTATGAATATCTAGCTCTGAGATTTTTGAGGCCTTGCACCTCTCGTCTAGTATCCTAATGAGCTACTGTGTGGTCCATACATCAAGGCCCTTGCATGCCTTGTTTCCTTTGTGACTACAGCTGTGACTCCGATGTCGCTTGATCGTAGAAGTCCAAACGCTCTTGTCACTGAGAGATATAATCTTTTGATGTGGTTGTGATTGGACATGCTTGAGAAGGATTGCGTGTACTTATGTACGGCCGCGGTGAGGAAGAGAGTACGGGCACATGGGCGCGGATGGGTCATATGTAACTTATGGGATAATCCAGTTGAGATATTTAGATGCGTGGGAAGAGCGAACATATGGAAACAGGAAACAGTAAGCAGCCAGACAAGAGCTGGCAAAGGATAGCAGGCACGCAAGACCAAGCTCGAGACGAGTCGAAGCAATGACGTACTTACTTTGTTCGATGCGTTATTTAGAATGATGCCTCGGACTTTCAAACCGAGTAGAGCGATGGATTTCCTTCGATATATGATGTATTATGTATTATCGTAAAAGCTTCTGTCAGCTGGTAAGCCTTTCGGGCATGTCGACAAAGTAGTGTAGATCAGTGGATAGCACCTTGCGAAGCGCTTTAATTATCAGTGGCAATGCGTAAACATCACCAGTAGGTTAGATATAACATAAGGTCCTGGGATTAAGTCGAGCCCGAATATTCAGCGTCTGCACGTCCGCTGCTTTTTAAACCCTGCGCAGGGAGTTCGGATGGGTTGAAAGATATTAAGACCTGACCAGAGCTAAAGTCATAACTACAATAATCTTATCCTATGTGGAATAGCATCGCAAGCCTTGCGGCAAGGGATCCATATCGTGTATCTATTGCTTGTAAGGAAAAGTCCTAGAGGTGGTGTTCAACCTCGGGAGTGCGTGCGAGGTTTGGATTTGGCCCCATCGCCGCTTCGCCCCGGCCCCAACCAAAACTCACCAGCACCACCGAACACTCCAAATCTCTTCCCATGCACGTCTTCACGATTTGGTTTATCAAATTGCACTGGAGGGAAATCCATTGCCCATCGCATTTGCTAGAACTTCCGACGTCACACCTCGCCCAACGAAGATAAGGTTTGCGCCCTAGATTCCAAGGTGCACAACATCCTTTCAGATGAAGTTTGACATCCCTAAGAACGTCTGGAAGCAGCATCTACCGAGCCTCAAAGTGATAGAGCCACCTCGCATGAGCCACCACAGCACGTTTCTATGGGGGGAGTTATATATCAGAAATCTGGAAATATTTCCATAAACAGGACAATGCGGGCGTAGTCTAGTGGTTATGATGTCTGCTTTACAGTGTTAACTGCAAAGCGCAGAAGGTCGGGAGTTCGATCCTCCCCGCCCGTATAAGCATCAAATTTTTTTGTGGGGTTCAGGGCTTGTCAGGCGTTAGTCGAAGCCGGATATCCCCACCGACCCTTTTTGCTGAGAAGGAGTAACATCCAATTAACCTTGGAAGCATTGAGTACCTGCTTGTTTGTGCCGAGATGATAGCTCCAAAATTTGGGCTGAGCATAGGCAGCATCGTGGAATGCGTATCAACTACGTAGACACATAAGTTCTCGCTGAACGTACAGACTATACGTACAATATATGTTACTAAAGCAGACATTATCGTTCAGCATGATTCTAAGTCTGTGAGGTCCCGAAGAAAGTGCTGGACTATGGTGACTAGAATGCTCCGATTTGATTGGAACGCAGCTTCTACGAATGTCAGGATGCACAAAGTCTAAAGATCTCACATGACTTGGTAGCAGAGTACTGTCGGAATTGCTACATAGAAATTTTGGATCCGTGGTTGCAACCTCTTGCGATTGGCTTATTCGGCTTTGTCTCGTCTGTTCTTTCGCCCTGAATGCGTTCTGAGATAATAGGCTCAGTGCATTAACTGCCTGATGTCCACTGCTAGCCAAGTATCTCGACACTTCTGCTATAGGACTGAGGGGTAATCCGTTTAGTTCGATCGTAAAGCCATGACTTCTTGTCGCTTCTCGGATGAACCTTTATTCAGTTCGAAGGATGCGGAAGGCTTGCGGAGTTTTGCCGCGTCCTCCCGTTTCGCGTGGAACACTGACTACGGCGACCATAAACCATAGCATAACACTTATTGCAAACTAACATCTTCTTAATATGGGGACCTTCTACAAGTTCTTCTAATTTTCTTACGAATTTCATGTCCATGGGCGAGGGCGTTTGTGGTGTTCCGAGCAGCGCTGGCCATTTAGGGTCATACATTCGGCCAATAGGTGTCTCAAGCCCCACAGACGGCTGCTAACGGCTCAAAAAGAATGAGTTGGTCCCAGAATACCTTGCTGAAGTTGGTCGAATAACCACTTTGTGGTTTTTTGCATTGGAACAGCGACCACGAGCGAGAAGCTGTATTTCAATTGCTAATATATACATCAAAATTGGAACTGCTTTCATGAACGCCTAAAAGCCGGTTGTATGGTGTAGAGGTTATCACTTCAGATTTTGATGCGTTCAGAAATTCTGGAAACCCCGGTTCGAGTCCGGGTACGACCTTTTTGACATGGTGGAGATCTGGTACTATGCGGACGGTGTATGTTGAGATCTTAGATTTTTGTTGCTCGAAAGGCCTCAGAAACATCAAGACAATCGTAAAGCATGATCACTGAAAGTTTGGAGCCATTGTTTGTGTTGGACTCTCACTTCTCGGTCCTTAGACTGCGTGGGTGAACTGCCACACGACAGAATTTGTCACGCCTCAATGCCACGGTCAATCAGGCTCAAACTCACAGCAGGGCATCTCTGAAACATCAAACTCCGCTGCCGAGAGTATCGACTGCAAAATTCGAAGGAGTCTATATGTGCAGGTCAATAAGCGTGTCCGTCACTGTAGCTATCTAGCGACTCTAACAACCACGCGTATGGACCCATATAGAGGCGCCTATTCCTCAGCCTCGGGAAAGCTATTCTTAAGCTTTCCGGAGTGTTTGGGAGCTGGAATATCATCTCAGGAGGCCGTGCAGCTCCGATCCAGAAGAACAGTGGCTGTAACCACCTCACTTATAAATCAAGACCTTAGTATCTATGTTAATGTTGCTAGTAACTTGCAAGCTAGAAGCACTAACATAGGTATTGCTGTGTTTGCCCAATTAGCAATTGGGATTAATGCAGATACTTATAGATGTGCAAGCGGTGATGTTTGCAAGAATAGAGAGTGGTTAAACTGCAGTAGTAAATAGTAGTATTCTTGCTGTAGTGATTTAAAGAAAGGTACTCAAGGATCGACATTATAGGAATAACATATCTGACAGAAGTCGGATGCTACTGCTTATAAGAACACAAAGAACAAAAAGCTACGCATACAAGACATAACCATTCTGCTCAGCTGTCATTGGTCCTAGTACTCGGCTGACTGAGTGTTTCTGGCACGAGGGTCGACGAGCACTTCCATAGAGCTTGAGCGGCGACATCGAGTATTAGATGTCATGGGTACATCGAAATTGCCTTTACCAATCAGCTAAGTATTATTTCAATGAGGGGGAGCATACCATTGCAAGCGATCATGTCGGTGTATGGCGTATCGATGTACATACGTCGGTTGACAGCAGCTGCAGACTGACCATTGTGGCTTGTGTTGTTGAGTTGAAAGTTGGTCGGAGTGGAGGCTTGGCTCTTAGTTGACTGAGACCTGTCCATGACGCTGGGCTCTTGTAGTCAATCGCTTTTGGAGCGATAAGATCTCTATTGGGTAAGATATCGAACACAGTGAATTGAGGACAGTATCATGAAAGGATGCCTTATTTAAAAACTTCCAGGCCGGGGCAACTGCGCATCTATCTGATCTTTGTACTGCGATTTCATTTCTATACGGATGCTATATGTCCATTTTAGGAAAGCAGGAGTCCCATTGGGTGACGAATGACTGCTGGGGTGCATAAACCAATGACCGGTCAGGAAGGGCGCGCTAGCACAGCTAACCATGCAGGTTTCGAACGGTCAGCCTTGTGACCGCATACGCGAGCGTCGTACATGCGCGCTGGCTAAACAGAAAGAGACATAAGCCGGTCATCTTGCATCGTCATCGTCAAGCCTGACATCTGCCTTCTCTGTACGGTATCTCAGTTAACAAGACATGCATAGTTGGCTTTGGCCGGGCGCAGTGCCATCTCAAGGTTCGTTGTATCTAGTCTATCTCTTAGCAGTGGCAAGATCGCGGAGACTGTAGCATAGTTGTCTAGTTGCATTGTTGCATTAGGCGAAGACATCAAGGTGGCCCTGCTTCGTGGGACAGTGGACAGGCTGTACGCAAAAGAAAGGGTTTAGAAGCCTGAAATGGGTAGCGAGGGCACTGATTGGATCTTTGTAGCCTGCCATTTTTTGGCTGCAGCGCGCCACTTGCACCTTATAACAGTCTGACATCTCCCCGAGATTTGCGAAATTACACTCGCGTTCCATTTCGAACTTGAACTTAAATTGGTCATGGCCGGACTTACCTCAAATTTAGCTAGTGTACGTGATCTGAACAATATGGTCACACCCCCCTTGGAGATGAACGCGCCTTCTTGCTTGGGCTCTTTAAGCAGATCACCACAATATTGTAAGAGAGCTGTGATTTGACAAACTTCAAGATATGCAATATCAGTCTCAGTCAGCTTGTAGCGATGTGGCGGGCGCAGTTCTAAGGTCTCGCCAGAAAGATCATCGATCATGATCGTATTGACAAGAAAATCGATTTCTGTGCAGGAAGTATAGACAAGTAGGCCGTGGGCCTATCCGGAGTCTATACTCCAGTGAGAGAAGCTTATCTTCACCTACATGCATATTCAATATGCATGTATCACATGTATGGTAGCGGAAGGTCCAGTGACAAACTTGTGTTTCCAATATCTGTATGAGAGGTCACTGACTCAAAACAGTCCGAGGATGTCAGACTCGATTTGACCAATGCATAAGTTCTTGCACATCTTAGCTCTTATGCAACGTAAATCTATCCAATACTGGCTTTGACATATAGGTATTGTCTGGCTCGGCATCTGGTCCAGCTTGGAGATGCTGCAAGTCCTGGCTTCCTCCCGGTTATCAGGAAAGATTCGTTTCAGAAGATAGACCTCCACCTCTCAAGCTCGAGCCGACCGAGCACCAATCTCACTATACTCTTGACCTAATGCTGAAACATTTCAGGCCAGGGGAAGCGACTTGTACAGCAGGCACGCTTGGAGGTCCTTCCAGAAAGCTGTCGAAGTAGCTTGAAATTTTCGCGCAAGTATCTTACAATAGTAGTTATACGGCTAAGCTGATGATCCCTCAGGCCAACGGTTGCACCAATATGCGCCACATCTCGAATCTTATCGTTGCTTAACTGAGAATTGGAGGACGATCAACTTCATCGTTCCAGAAACCAATAACTACGTCCTCAATCTGGCAAGAAACGTCCAACTGATCTTGACGGTACTCCAGATCATGCACTTGGTACGGCAGGTGGACGAACCTCGAGTGCCAGCCCATGAGAGGAGACAAAGAATCAATCTTGGAGAGATGATTCTGAATAAAGGGTGACATGAATGGTACCAAGTGCACTATTTGGTCAATCCATACTGAAATCAGAAGACCCCTCCGTAAACAAGCAACAACGCATAGAAACAAAAGTGTTCGAATCTAGACATGTTCCCATCCACGTCTTTCACATCGTATGCTTGATCTTTCGCAAGAATATAGCACCCACCGACCAAAAGGCATTGGTTCTTGTTATCACAGGCGAATTACAGGACACGGGCGTCGTGACATCTGATAAAGACTACAAATGCCCTCCTTGCATACGGCAGTGCCCCAGGCAGAACTGTAACTTTTATCTGCCAAACAACACTTGTTTAAGTCGCTCGCGCGATAAAGATGTTTGTTGGCATCTTCTAGGTTTTAATAGCATTTGAGCTTATCATGGATGTCCAGCAGCGCCATGTTGGGAAGGTAGGGGCGTGCGAATGCCTTGGAATGTCTGACAGACGTAACAGGATGCAGTGTTGATTCTTGTTGATGAACAGAATGGAGCGAGTGAACAAGGGTCGCTGAATTTACGCAGGCTCGGTCTGTGCCGACTGTGGCACTTTTCGGAAGGAACGAAGCCTCCTTACCATATTATTCTAAGCCTCCAGTAACCCCTTCCTGATGATCAGTTCATCGGCCACCAGTATAGGGTCGACGTGCACAATCCTCTCTCTTGTCTGCTCGAAGTACACACTTCCGTACCTTAACAGCTCCCCAAATGTGCCTGGCTCTTGATCCTTCCCTTCAGCATCGTACGTATCAAGCAATTTCCCACAAGACGTCGAAAGCGTCAGCCCCTTGGCATGCGTGATCTTCTGCATAGTGCTCTGCGTCAACAA